TCATCCTATTTTTATCCACTAGTAGATAACTTCAAATGTATTAAACATGATTAATTTTGTTCCTGTAATTTACCAAACTTTTCTGTAAGATTACTCGTTTTTATTTCATCTTATAATTTTCATGATTTTAATCTATGCTTCTCCATTAACAGTTTACCATATTTACCTATATTTAAGACAAATATACAGTCTACAATAATAGTCTGGTCAACAACAAAAACATCAATTGTTGACAGAAGTTGAAATTCTTTGATAGCACGAAAAAACATGATATGTTCATAGAGTAAAACTTATCATCTTTAAATATCTGATTATTTAAAATGTTTATGATTATAATGGGATAAATTTAACTGTCATTTATATCTAGAAACAAACAATTGTGTACTTGATTTGAAGCTGAATTACGTTTATAAATAGAGAACATGAATTGTTGTGAGGGTTGTGGATAATCTAATCATCATAACTTGAATGAATTTAGGAAGAGGAGATTCACTCTGTAGCCCGAAAATAAACATTATCTTGAGATCGATTGACACTGTGTTCGTCTGGAGCTTGAGTCTGTTTCACATATTACACATTATAAAGGAAGAACATGAAACGGAATAAGCAGACTACCAAACAAATAAACCATAATAATTTTAAGGGAAATTTAAATAACATCGGTGAAACATACTACGAAGTCACTATGAAGGAAATAATTGATAACGATATATTTTGTCGTACTGATCATCCACCGTTAAAGTTAATGGGACTAGACTTGATGTTAAAGCCAAAATTATTAGATCATTCTGTATCACGGGATTGTTTTTTAGCTTTCAAATACAATCTCCCCTATTAATCACTTTCTGTGCTTTAATTTCGAGTCATCCAAAATCTTGTAGCATAAGTAACTGTTTTTGATGTAAATTTGATGTTTTGGTCACCTATACACATTTCGAGATGGCTTACAAAAGTATTAAACCCTATCCGAAATCAATTTTGTAAGTATTCCTTGATTGACTAATTTGGATTAATTAAGTACATAAAGGATATGAATATAAAAACAAAAATAATGTGATCCTTTGATGTGAACACTATTTACAAATGTACCTCTTAAGAAAACTATTCATACTTTATGTGACTGTATCATTGAATGACCTTCCAATGGCATTTCCTGTTAACACTTAAAGATTTATTATTATTGTGCACTGATAATGTAAAATTCACTTTGGAGAATGGGCAATTTCAACAAATTGATTACGTAGCTATGGGTAACACTTTAGGACCGTTGCTGGCCGATGTGTTTATGGCATATGTTGAGAATCTAGCTGAAGACTCAATTCAAAAGATGTGTCTGTATGAACGGTGCGTTGATTACATCATACTCATAGTGGAGAAACGTGAAGATGTGAGCCGCTTGTTAAAAGAACTCAACACAAAGCAAAAGCAAATTTCTCTTACATGAGAAGAAGAGAAGAATAACCAATTTCCTTTTCCAGATATACTGATTAGTAGCGGGGGGTGATGGTTCCAACCAACGTTCTGTATATAGAAAGCCAGCATGGACAGGGCAGTATTTTAATTTCCATAGTCACTATCTACTTCACTGAAACGTGGATTAATAAAGGGCTTATTCAATAGAATCAATCGTATTTCTACTAACGATACTATTGAAGTAGAGACGAAACTCGTGACTGAAACGTTAATGTATAATGGTTATTCAATAAAGATCATAATTCACTGGAAAGGTTGCAATACAATTAGACTTATGACGCTTCTGGCATCCAAAAAGCGAGTTTACATAGTGTTACCATTTAGAGGCGACTCAAATAGTCTCATGTTGAAACGGAGACTTAAACTAGCAGCCAACTGGAGATCTTATTCAGCCCGACTTGTCATTATTGAAAATACAAGGTCTATCTTTCACCGAAAACTCAAACACCATGTAAGAGATTGTATCATATCCCATTGTGTCTATCAATTTACATGTATATGTGGAAACACGTACATAAGGAGGAGCAATCGTTCTCTGCAATTAAGTGTGACGGAACACATACCCAAATGGCTGCAGAAACAAATGGATTTCAACGGCCAAACAAGATCATAGGATAGACAAACATCATCCTCCATTGAGAAACATTTGGTTGAGACTGGTCATAAGGTTGACATCAAATCAGCATTTGTAGTGTAATACAAAAGCCTTCAAAAATGTGTGCTAAAGTTTATTGAAGCCTTAGCTATACGGAAACTGAAACCTACTTTATGTGTTGAAAACAATTTGTTCTTACCCTTAACCTATCATGGTAATACTGATTTTTTGTGTAATTTACTCTTCTTTGTTATGGCTTACCTTTAACTTGTCTAGTTGACCTTTTAATTTTCATATAAGAATGTCATAAGAATTATATGTGTGATCAGATTGTTCGAAATGTATTGCTCAAATCTATCACATAATTCTGATAAACTTCGTCTTCTCATTGCATTATCGAAATTTATCAAAGCGACTAATTGTTTTAAATTTCTGAAAAGAAGACTCCCTACACAGTTTGTTTTTGTTTTAATTCTCCAAAATCAAATGACTGAAAATTGTTTCTCGATTTTAAACAATAGGTTACCCCATAGAATAGATTAAAAATGAATAATTTCATGAAGTTGAGAAAACTGAATGGGATACTATACATAAAGTTTCGAAAACAAAAAAGCTGAATAATCCAGTCAACCAATGTTTACCTTCGGTGCTGACCACTAAATATTTATGTTATTTTTTTACTACTTGACATTCTGTAAACTCAGGGAAACTTCATTAAAGAATCAAACCTACACAAATTGTAATCAAGACGAGAAAAAAATTGTTGTTTGTTAAAATTAGAGTGAATTATATCCACTTTATTTAAATACTCTAACCTATGTGTTCTCATTTATAATAAATGAAAACTTTAACTATAGTCACTAACGAAAAGTCCTTTTGATGTCAATGTCCTTTTACTCCATCAACTTTGTGTAGTTTATTCAAAAAGCCAGTCATGAATGTTTTTGTTGCTAATCTTAAAAATATTTATATGAACAGAGGAATACGAATTATTTCATTTTTGATGTCATGAATTTTATCATTTTGTCTAATGGTTTTGGTAATGATTTAGATATTTTGTGAACTTTACGATTATAAGGTTATGAAATGAATTTAAATTTACAAAGTAAAGTTCACTATTAGTTTGAGTAAAGATATCCCAATGTCTTCCAACAATTTATTCAGAAATAAACATTTCACCATGCCTAATCTGAAGTAAATTGTCTAAATAGTTAGAAACTCTTCATTTTTAGGTGTGGTAGAAAATACCTGAATAGTATGTGCATGCTAGGATGATGTATTTATTCGCTACTCCTTGAGGTCGTGAAAAATATTCAACTGGAAGTAAATTGATCCCAACTTAGTGATCAAAGACTTGTAGGTACATCTTAGTCCTGAAGACGTCAGTCTCGGTCCTAACAGCTCCGTAGTTAGATCTCTAATTATGAAGCTGGATAACACGGGCCAAAGAGCATCAACTCCCTCAGGATTACATGTATACCTTGCTGAATACGACCGGATAGCACAATACCTAGTTCTATCAATTCATTTCGACTATCTCCAACTGTCACCAGACATTTCAACACACTACACACAATATAAAGTTATTTAGACTAGTCTCTTCATTGAACCTGATCGATAGAACTCAATCAGCACTAAGAAGGACTTGACATACATAACATTAGTTAACTACTCAGTGATAAAAAAATTGTAAACAGTATGTAACCATCCACAAATCTACATACAAAATCTTTAGAACTAAAATATTTTCAACATAGTGTAAAATAAATTTTACAAATTTTTCTTTTCTTTTATACTTCTTTTTTTTCATCATCTGATCACAATTATCAAGTATGTTATTATAAAGTAATACAATCCCTTTACATATGAATACTATAAATGAATTTAATTTAAAAAACACATAAAAGTATTGTAAACATTTAAAAATATAAAAAAACTCAAATGGAATTTCTTAGAATCACCAATATTTACTCAACTTAATTCTTGAGTTGTTGACATTATATTTGTAATCATCTAATGATTCATGTACAATAATAAATAATAGAATCCTCTCCAGAAAACTACTGATTACCCCAAACCTTGTAGCTTCACAACATTAGTTATTTTCTAGAATTTTTCCGAATGTTTCGAAGAAATAATAATTGAAAACCTGAACAACTTAATGTTAATAGTTGCCTCGCAAATTAGTGATACATCTTGAGCTGACAGTTAAGCCTGTTCTATTATTATTATTAATATGGTGCAGTATCAGGTGAAATGATTACAATTAAGAAACAGTTATCAATAGTCTCTTTACTGTTCATCTAACAATCTTCAAAAAGTTAGCTTTTAAGCTGAGAGACAAATAATATTCATACATCACAAGGGGTTTTGTGGAGATTGTAGTAATTTCAACACTTGAGATCATGAGTGAGTTGAAGCTAGACCACCATGGAAAACCTGGATGCACTGGACGTCTGTTTCATCCTATTGTGGGATTCCTCAACAGTGCGTACCCATGACTTCGCCTCGCGGGATTCAAACCCAGAACCTATCAGTCTCGCGCCAGGCGCTTAACCAACTAGACCAGTGAGCTGGCCGGCATCCAATGGTGTTAATGTCTAACTTCAACTAATTTACGAAATTGAGTGACACGTTCACCATTGTCATCAGTGAGTTATTCATGCAATCGGGAACAAGTTTACAAAAGTGCAATAATTGTCAAACTTCTGAAATTCTCACTTTATAAGTTCTGACAGCTTTTATGAATAAAAGATAGATCAAAAGTCAAAAACAGTGATTTAATTTATAAATTATTAATTACGATAAAACATTTCAGCAGATCACGTTCATAAACATTTACTTCTAAAGAAATAGTTAGATATTAAGACTTATTAGATTAACATTTATGGAAAAATAAGTAAGTTCATATCACTTTGAAAAGATGTCCCATTCAACGACGTTTAAATATTTTTAAACAGGAACCAGTAATAAATGTGAAATGTCCAATGAATTTGGTACGAATTGCTTGAATAAAAATAAATAAGCTAAGTGTTCGGCTAACAAAATAGATTATACGTACTAATTCAGTTGCACTGAATAGTATACGTGATTTTTCAACGTAACCATAATTTTGAAAATAATAAAAAATAACCATATCTAAAATATTTGCTGTCGTTGATTCGAAAGACCAAATAATTATGAGTAACGTTAGAATATGCTGTTGATTTGATGGATTAAAACCTCTGAAGTTTTTATTCGCACGTTTTATTTTTATATAATGAATTAATATTAGAATATAACAAGTTGTTATGACAATAGCCGGTAAAATCAACAGTAATACTAGACATAAATAACCGAAAATTAATAGTTGTTGACGATGGAATTCATCTGCAGGATTTTGTCCTACAGTTACACATTTACCATTTGTATCTATTTGGACTAGGACAGTAAATCTCAAGTTAATTGCTGTGATATATATCATGGCGAAACAATAGGATGCAATGACAGTTCGCGGATAGTCGAGTATGTTTTTATTAGGATAAAATAGTTGGAAACATCGTTCTATCAACATTGACATAACGTTATATTTGCTGAACATAATGAATAGATTGTACATAAATGTACTACTCCACATATGACATACAATCAGTCGTAGCCATAGTTCATTAGTTTTAATACTTGGACAAAATGCATATAACATACCAGTAGCTGAAGCGAGCCATTCAAATGTCATTTGTAACATTATCAATACACCAAGAAAATGTGTTCCAATGCTGACATTAAATATATAAAATAATAAAATTGGATTAAGAAATATACTAACAGACGAAACTGCAAGCGTTATCGCATCAATGATATGTGAAACTGAATTTCTACCAAACACGAAGTTAATTATTCCATATTGTGTATCACACATTGTATTAAATTTCAGTTAGATTGAAAATATAAATCTTATTTTAGGAGGAATATTCTTTAAACTCCTGCAATTATTTTTCATGATAAATTGGTACAAATATTATTACTTTATATGAGTTACGAGTACATTTCTGATTGGCGACACTAACAGATTTATCGTTAGATAACTAGCCTAAATTATTTTAATTGGTTTAGAATACTTATCCCATGTGGCAATGGACTTTTATTATTTTGTTTTTGGGACTAAACATTAGGTGTATTTACCAATGTAAGTAAATACTTTAAATTGAAACCCTCATTTGTGGCTTTTTTTGTAGTTCTGTCGTAATACTGGCAAACGGAAATCACTGCAATAACCGCAACGCAAATCAGAACATAATGACGAAAAATGAGCAGTCAGTTGATACTCAAAAATAAATCTACAATTTTAAAATATTATTTATCATATGGTTTATGAGGATTTATAATAAAATGTATAGTCAGTCAGTCAGCTACAACATAGGACCAGGCACATATGCATCGGTCCAAGTTGCCGTACCTCATTAGCACAACAAGATGAACATCAAATTCATAGAAGTAGTTAATTCAGTGGTGGTAATATATAAAAGAAAGATTGGATATAAGGACATAGCACAGGAACAAAGAATTAGTATGTAGAAAGATATGAAGCGATTTTAATCTCAGTTTAAAGGAAGACAATTAGTGTATACACCGACGCTAGTGTGATCAATTCTTCGTAATGTCACCCACAGTCTCCAACCATTGGTTACGATAGTCACGTGGACCCCAACTAAGTAGTCTGCATCTAACAACATGACTTAGACTAAAAGTCAGTGACTTCAATGACTGATGCCACGTTTTGGTTTGACCACCCCTAACTTTCTTCCAACCGACTCCATCACCACTCAGCATTGTGCGTCGTGGTAAACGGTGTTCAGGCATACGAAACACGTGGCTCAACCATCTCAGTCGATAAAGATTCACAACCTCATCAACTGATTTAACATCATTCCTCAATACCATGCGTCTAACCTCACTATTTCTTAGCCGGTGTTCCCAGCAGATGTGATTAATATTTCTAAGGCATCTGTGATTAAATTCTAGCAACTTACGAGTATCTTTTACTCCTAATGGCCATGCTTCGCAGCCGTAAAGTATGATAGAACGAACTGCTGCGCAGTATACTCGTCCCTAAATTGACAGACGGATATCTCACCTTCGCCATGGGTGACGTAAGTTGGTAAAAGCCAAACGAGATTTTGGAATCCGTGCTGAGATTTCGTCAGATACCAACCCATTAGGGCTGATCAGACTTCTAAGGTAAGTGAAGTTGTCAACGCGTTCGACTACTTCACTCCCAATCCTTAGTCCAGATGTTGATGCAGTTCAGTCCTGAAGCAACAACTTGCATTAAGAGGGGGAGAGACGCATCCCAAACATCCTGGCATTGTTGCTCAGTGCTACCAAAAGACTGCATTTTAACAGCGTCTTCACCAAACAGGACTATATCATCTGCGTATTCTAAGTTGATAAGTGGACCTACTGGAAAAAGATCAATGCCCGAAAATCCAGACGATAAGAAAGTTATTTCCAGCAATAGGTGAAATAGGTGGAATTAGATTAAGTGAACAGCCTTGACGGACAACACTTGGGGTTGAAAAGTCAGATAACTACTAGTGTTCGAAAAAAGAGCCTTCACAAGTTTTATGCACTTCTGAGGTACGCCTTTCAATAACAGACACTGCCACAGAACCTCTTGTTCTACACAGTAAAATTGTTATGACTTTATGTCCCACTTTTATCACGTGATTTATTCACCAATCAAAATACGACTAATACTGTCTTAGCATTGTGCCAAACCAATGACTTTCGACCGATATGGGCAGCCCAGTGTCCTTATTTGGTCATATGTCTGCCTAGCCCGTCCACTTGAGTCCAGAACACCAAATACCACCTTCCAATATGCGAATCGAATCATTTATCTCAGACATACTAGGTTTATATATCAACCAAACAGACCTCAACGCACCATAAAATAAGAAATAACATTTGAACACAATAAAGCCAAAAAGTGACTGTGAACGTGGGAGGCAGTAGTCAATAAACTGAACATAGCTTAAGAACCGTAAATCGTACAATAATAATTTGTAGGTTAAAATAAAGCTTATAACAAGGGTAATATAGATATACATAATCTAGTTACCGAATATTTATACCATGAGAATATATAAATAATAATGGTCCATTAATAAGTCTCAGATGTTACTCGTAATGTAATCTTCACTAGGATATAACAAGAATGCTGCTTTTAAGTCAAAATAAACTATTATTGTCGGACGCCGATAAGCATGTCTGTGCTCTAGAACCTGACGAATGGTGAATATGTGGTAGATTCAGCCACGACCAGGTTTGAAGCCAGTCTGATTTTCTCTTATTTGCAGTTCACGAGTCCTAGTTAGGTGTCCGACAACAATTTTAGATGCTATATTAGTTAAACTAACTCCTCTATGGTTATCATAGCATGGTTTTGATCCCTCCTGTATATCGGGACAATCAGTGATTGCGACCAGTCAGATAAGATTACATCCAACTCACAGATTTTAGCTAAAATATGAGTCAACCTAATCGCTAAAACTAGACCACCAGACTTAAAGACCGCTGGAACAAATCAATCTGAAGCAGCTGTCCTTCCCCGTTTCAGATTAGCTATAGCTTTTCCCACTTCAATTCGAGTTGAAAGACCTACTTCAATGTTCCATTCAGGCTTTCTGGGAATGGTAAGCAGTTTTAGAATAGCTGAAGGCCAGCTACACTGCTCTCTAAAGTGTTCCGCGCATCGTCCTAAACGTCTGGACTGAGAGCAGCCTCGTTTTCAGAACTATTTAAGTGTGACCTCAGTTGTTCCTGGAACCTACTTTTGGTTTTCTCGTTACTCAATTCAGTTCTAATGGGTCTTCTTAGTGTGGCTTTTCTGCATCCAGTGAGGCGCAAGCAGATGCATGCTCGTATTAGAGTATGGTCGGAGTCCAAGCAGGTACTCCAGAATGAACGACAATCTTCTATCGACCCTCTCCAATGATGACTGGTGGCAATATGGTCTATTTGAGTCCATCGTTGGTTTGGTGCAGGAAGTCGCCATGTTAGACGATGTCTCTCCTAATGCTTAAAATTTGTGTTTGCTAAAAATAAATGATTGTCTGAGCACAGTCGCAGCAGACGATCACCATTATCTGTTCGCTGAGCCGGGATACCAAAACACCCACCTACATGCCTTTCTGTCTGGCTTAAGCTACCTACTTGGACATTACAATCACCTGCTACGAGTACTATGTCTGAACGTTTAGCTTTCTGAAGAAGTTCAGAAATATTTCTGTAAAATTCATCTTTCACTTCATCCGAGCTGCAGTCAGTGGAAACGTAGACAGAAACGAAAAAAAGGCAACCACATGTGTCCCTATTCTTCCGAGTTCTTACGGATCCGTTTAGCCAAACAGCACATAGACGGCTGTTTAGAAGGATGCATTCTAATAGTGCTTGTTCTGCCCTCGTACTAAGTGCTATGTCTACACCTGCCAGTACACGAGGACTAGCCATCGGGTCGCCAGCTACACGGAGGGTGTATCTCGTCGGCTCTCCATCTTGCCGAGGTGAGGTCAAGTGAATGACCAAACAAGGATCCTGTATGTGTGTTTCGGAGACACAGAATACGTCAATGATACGAGATTCTAGAGTTTTAGCTTTTCTTTTTTTAAGAAACTTGTTTAAATAACTTGTACTGAGAATTCTATATTGTACCAAAAATATGACATTGAATAAAGCAATTAATAATAATATATAGATTGCTCATTTCATCTTTCCCCTCCACAGCTGAATTTCATTCGAATTACTTCAGCGTATTTTGTTTCAATTAAACATTTACAACTTTAGCATAACACAGTTCCCAAAATAAATTTCCACTGAAGCACGACCTACAAACGGTTATTTTTATTATATTACCATAGGTGAGACGTGAACAGTGTTTGGTTTATCAAAAAAATTGGAGACAATTTGGGTGGATATTTATATCGAGATGAGATCAACAGTAACGTTATTTGAACAAAATATTTTAGTCGAAAATACATTTTATTTTGATATCATCACAAGTTATTTTTACCTCTTTTGTCTTTGTACACAAATCGATTTGCGATTGCAAACATTTCTATTGACAGAATTTTTTTTAATTACCCACTTTTACTTCCTAATATTCTTTGATTAATAGATAAAGTTTAAACGTTAGAATAATTAACTCAATGCTGTAACACAGTTTATAGTATTATATATTGGATTTGGTTTCTTGTACTCGTACATTCTAACCTTTCTAATGCATTGGTTATATTCTTGTGAAAGACTGTCTATTGTAACAGAACATTTATGGATTCATAGTAGTACAGCTTAAATATAAATATATGATAAACACTTTAATGGTTCGTAAAGCGAAATATTTTAATTTTATCCTGAATAAGTGTCAATTAGTCGGTTGATTACATTGGGATGAATGAATAAAATCATTCATATACGTATTTGTATTTTTTCATTTATTCTATTTTTAGAAAAGTTAGCCTAATCTATTCAAGATGTACTACTATGAATCCATAAATGTTCTGTTACAATAGACAGTCTTTCACAAGAATATAACCAATGCATTAGAAAGGTTAGAATGTACGAGTACAAGAAACCAAATCCAATATATAATACTATAAACTGTGTTACAGCATTGAGTTAATTATTCTAACGTTTAAACTTTATCTATTAATCAAAGAATATTAGGAAGTAAAAGTGGGTAATTAAAAAAAATTCTGTCAATAGAAATGTTTGCAATCGCAAATCGATTTGTGTACAAAGACAAAAGAGGTAAAAATAACTTGTGATGATATCAAAATAAAATGTATTTTCGACTAAAATATTTTGTTCAAATAACGTTACTGTTGATCTCATCTCGATATAAATATCCACCCAAATTGT